TGTAAGGTTGAATTTGAATGGTTGGGTAACTCATGCTAATATAACTGCACTATTAGAAAGAGAAAAATATACAAAAAGACCAATTACTCTTAAGAATAAAGTAATTGTGACCTCCTTGCAAGAATGATAAATTTTTTTAATTGATTTGGATTTGTAAAAAAAAAATTAAAAATCAAACGCAAAATGAAATGGTGACCGTCAGATCGGTCCAGATTCAATCTGAACTGTTAAGCTCATATATTCATATAAGCTAGTGGGCTAATCCCAATATTTTCTTATATATATATATAAAAAGAGAGAGAGTTTGAGCTTCATATCGCTATAATTTGTAGGGTTGAATTGGAATGGTTGGGTGACTCATGCTAATATATCTGCATAATTAGAAAGAGAAAAATATACAAAGAGACCAATTACTCTTACCACAAGGAGTTCACAATCACTCAACTTGGAGTAATTGCGACCTCCTTGCAAAAAAAGATAAATAATTTCATATACACAATCCCTTCAAACTCACCAAAATTGGACTTGAAAAACACAAGAACGAAAGCAAGAAAATAAAAACACCACCAAATAAATAAATAATAGTAAAAGGTGATGGTTACCCAAAAATCTATAAAACCAGATGGTCTGTCTGGTAGGCTTGGTCAACCACTTGTTTCTATCAGTATTGGACCACACAGATTTGGCCTTGCAAATTGCGACTATAACAGACTTAGTCAAAATGCCCGGATAACTCAAAGAGTGATGTAAAGACAACAAAAGGTTGCTTTCTTTTGATATTACAAGTGCTAGGATCCTTTCCATTGAAAGCTAGAGGTGCCACCCATTATAGGTTGCCATGCAAGTTCCCACAAGGATCACAACAGTTCAGAATGGCCAGAGAAATCAGTGGGAGGTTCAAAAAGTGAGAGAAATCTATGAAATTTCCAGAGAGCTTAGAGAATACTCGAGCAACCTCAGGCCGATGTAGCTTACAAATTTCCATCTCAGAATTCCATTTAAACATTAGCTTGAAAATTATATTTATCAAAAACCCAAAAGTGTGAAGTCTGTGTTCAGCACTTGATTGAAGAAAGGAAGATCCGGTGGATGCTGCGAGCTGTGAGCTTACGCCTGCAAGTAGGGCATTTACCCTGAGCTTTTATCGCAGTTTTGATACAACCCATGCAGAAGATGTGGCCACATACAGTAGTCGTTTCCTCAGAAATTGTGTTTATGCAAATTGGACAACAGAACTTCTCTTTTGGCGTTACTTCTGCAGTAGCCTGCTTTGATTCCTGCAGTTCCAGACAAATTTAGATTCAGTGTTCAATTTGACCTAATCAACAAAGCTTTATTGCAGTGAAGAACTCAAGAGAAACTACAATGAAACGAGTCTAACAAAAGCTCATATCGCCCCTTGGGTGGATGTCAATCATCTAATTTATGGGTCCAATTGCCACAAGTGTGCACATGCAGCAGTATGAAATCAAGCTCCCTAACGCATCATGCATTTGGATGCACGCAGAATATGATATTTGGTATATCAATCTTTTACCAAGAACCAAGGATCCTTTCTTCTACATGTCATTTTTTTCCCCTGCAACACGTGTGCACATGCACCAGGATGAGTGGAAGCTCATCATGCATCATGTTTTTTGGATTCTTCAAGCAAAACTTATCAAGGCCAATGGGATATCCAGCAATAGAAGTACTAATCAAGACTGCCATGAAGCAAGTTGCAACAACTCACAACAAAATCTAGCTTTTCGGGTTAGGCTACCTTTTATGACATCAAAATCAATACTACCTTTTATGAGTATCCAAGTGGTAATAAATATTCTGGAAATTTAAATAATTTCATGAAGTATTTAAATAAATCAAGAAAACATTTATCAACTTACGCATGAGAGATGAACAATTCAACATGTTACCCATATCTTTCAATTTAAGTTCAAAATACCCAAAGAAAAACACACATGGTTTTGAGTTCGAATAGCTGCAGATAGGCAAAATGTTGAATAGTTCCTCTCTAATGGGTAATTCCATAGATTTCCTACAAATCAATTTGGTGTGACTATGGACAATACATCACCAGTCACAAATGCCAGCTGAGACGTAGGACTCAACTGGTCAGCAAATATAATTTTTTTGTCTTTTTATGAACTTGTCTGTAGAGTATTACAATTGGATAAAAGTTGTATATTAGTTACATGGACCATATACAGAGTACCAAAAAGGGAGGCCAAACTTCCAATTTCCAACAAGTGTGCTGTATCAAAAAATATTGAATATCATGAGTTGTGTGAAATTATATTCGATCTAGACTGCTATCGGTGATTGAGAATAAGTGTATTGCCGGTGGCCCCTTGTTGGCCAGGCCAACAGATATGCTATTGGCTTAATGCCAAAATGAGAAGTAATGCTATTGGCTTCATGCCAAAATGAGAAGTTGAACACTGCACTCAATGTGAAATTTTCCTCAAATATGTGAAAGGAAGATATCGTATATAAAATTAAAGCTGGGTGGGTAAAGTGGAGCTGTGCAGCCGAAGTTTTATATGATCTCCGCATACCAATGACGCTGAAGGGGAAGTTCTATAGGACAGCTGTGAAACCAACTTTGCTTTATGGGATGAAATGTTGGGCGGCTAAGAAACAACATATCCATAGGACGAGTATAGCAAAGATGAGAATTTGAGATGGATGAGTGCAAACAAGAAAGGATAGATTTCAGAATGAATATATTCGAGGGAACTAAAAGGTGGCTCCAATAGGCGACAAGATGTGGGGAAGTAAACTTAAGTGGGCTGACCACGTGCAGTGCAGACCATCGACTAGGAGGTACGATTTGGTTCAAATGGAAGGATAGAAAATGGCAAGAGAAGGGCACAAAAGGACATGAATGGAAGTGAAAAAAGATACGAGGATTTATAGTCTTATTGAGGGTTTGGCCCTTGATAGAGCAAAATGGATGAACATAATTCGTGTAACCAACCCCAAATGTTGATGACCATGATTTGATCTAGTCTCCATAGCCAAATAGCCTGTTAGCCCAGTTGATGAGTCCAACCAATAATGAGTTGCTCCATCTTCTGTCAAAACAATTCGAGTCCTTGTAATAAGGCACGTGCTTCGCCCTCGCATCAGATGGTGATGCTATGGGCCCTGACCAAAGGAACAACATAGTGGAGGTCATTATTTTCGTTCTAGCAAGGGCTTCCCACTTTGGGATAAAGTCCAAGGTCACATACCCTCTAAATATCTTGACTTGTCTCACCCCTTCAATTATAGTAGTCTTAGTATCATCCTTCACCGAGCATACAGATTTTTCATTGATTTTCATAAATCCTCCTATTACGTTCCAGCCAGATGTTCAGTAAGAGTGCCAATGCAGAATTCCTGCAAAGGATTAAACCAGCATTTGGCATAGGCAGGGAGAAGCAGTCCTGATAGAATTGTTTTGCACTGCTCCTGGATTCACCCACTTGCCTCTAAACACTTGCAGTACACAACCCAAGATATGCCACATTGTTGGACAGTGGGGGAGGATAGAGTCATCTGACTCTTCCCTTTCCTTGCAAAGGATACAAGGATTATGCATTGCAAGACCTTGTTTTTGTAGCTGATCCACTTGTGAGTATCTTCTTGTGTAAGACCAGCCATCCAAATATTTGGACCATAGTTGTTGGAAATGCCTGGGAACATGAATCGTTTCAGGAACCAGAATCGTGGAATTGTGCCTGACCAAAAGTTTCCCATTGTACGAATCGTTGTCCATACAATAGGAATCGCTAGGAACGAGATTCCTAATTTTCAGGAATCGAGTATCGATTGAAATAGGTCCAAGTTTCATCCACATATAGAATCGAGATTTCGGCCTCCTTGGAATCGAGATTCCCATCCCACTGGGTTCGACACTCCAAGTGTCAAGTTTCATGAATATGTGGAATCGAGTTTCCGTCATCTATGGAATCGAGTTTCCGACATATGCAGAATCGAGTTTCCATCATTTATGGAATCGTGATTCTAACATATTTGGAATCGAGTTTCCATCATCTATGGAATCGTGTTTCTCACATATTTGGAATCAAGTTTCTTAAGTATATGGATCAGGGATCCATGCTGGTTTGAGATCGAGAATTACAATAGCAGAATCGAGTTTCCAGCATCACTTGATTCGAGTTTCTGACATATGTGGTACATAGATATGTTGTTGTGTAGAATCGTCAGTCCATGTGTGTTGCTTTATATGCTATTACAAGATTTCAATATTTTATAGGCATTTAAATTAGAGGCGAATAAATAAAATTAGCATTATTAATAACCACTTTACATTCAGTATTTCAATACTAAGCAATGTTGTGAGGCTACACATGGTGTAAGATCACTTAAGCAGTCTTTTTAAATAACACATCAGCAAGATTAAGAAACCAAGGCAGTTTACATCACCGCAAATATAAGAAACATTATTCTATGGGCATTTAAATAATTTCACATAACATATGAGCAAGATTAAAAAACCAAGGCAGTTTATATCACCGCAAATATAAAGAACATTATTCTATAGGCATTTAAATCAAGAAAAAAAGAAGTAAAAATAACATTACTAATAATAATTTTGCAATCGATAGTACAGTACTAAGCAATGTTGCAAGGCGAGACGTCGTGCAAGTTCACTTAAGCAATTCAGATAACTATGAGCAAGGTAAAGAAACTATAGCAGTTTACATTAACATAAATATAAGAAACGTAATAAATATAACTAAAAAAGCAACACAATCTCATTAAATTCCTTCTAAAATACATGCCTTATAAATAATAATACCCCTTTCGAATACACATGCTGCCTAGTGCTATCATTTGAGACCATAAAGCATGATATCCACCAAAAAATAAAACATTACTTTTGTGGTTATTATTTACAAGAAACTAATGTTTTATACGGTGTAGATGATTCAAAACCTTGACGAAATGAGTTCAATTGCTTGTAGAATCGTGTATCATTTAATATGGAATCAAGATTTAAACCGCGCTAGAAGCCAGATTCAATCTATTTGGGAGCGTCTACCCACAATTAAGGGGTTCAAGTTTCTCTGGATCTGATGGATTGAGATTCTGAAATTAAGGAACGAGATTCCAAAACTAAGGAATCGAGTTTCCTTGGTTCCGAAAATTATTTTTAAAATAAGTGTTGAATCGAGATTCTAAAATTAAGGAATCGAGTTTCCTTGGGTTCAAAAATAGGTTTCCACGTGTGAGGAATCGAGATTCCGAAATTAAGGAATCGAGTTTCCTATGTTGCAAAAAAAAGGTTTCCACCTAGGTATGGAATCGAGATTCCAAAATAAAGGAATCGAGTTTCGTTGGTTAAAAAAAACGGTTTCCATGGAGTTTCCTTGATGGAAACGCGAAAACAGGTTTCAGAACCAGAATCGCGGGGTCCGGGGAGAGATTCCGGTAACTATGATTTGGATCTTCAGAGGGACTAGATGTGACCAAGCCCTGCTGGTGATCGATAGGGCCATGGATTCATCTCATATAACAGTAGAAAGTTGTTAGCAATAAATATACCAGACAAAAATGGGGCTTCATAGTGGCCTATCACATCCTTGACCAGGTAGAAAGAAAGCCTACCAGTATGAGAGAAATTGCTAAACGAAAGGCAGTCCATGATCATTAAGGTATCTAGTAAATGTGGGGGTCCAACAACAGAGTCTCCTTGTTTGCACAAGGGGTGAAGGTCAAGAGTATTTTCCAAGCACTAGACATTCAGGGGTTGGTGTCGCTCTTTCAAAGCCATCCTGACTAATGAGACCATATTATTGCTGGATGACCACCCTCCAACATTGACTCTCCTGAGTTGCAAACTATAGCTAACAGAATCTCCCAAGAAGGTGGTTGCTCAAGCTCTGGAAGCTCGATCTGCAAAGTTGGGGATCTAGATCCTTGGTTATTGGGATCCAAATCCCTCTCATCTAAATCATGGATCCATGACTAAGTGGAATCGAGCCTCTGTCAATGTGGAATCGAGTTTCTTTTACATCGATACCGAAGATCACCAGCACATTTTGAATCTCATGCACTAACCACTCCCCTCTTCCACTACCCAGCCTCTCTCTAACTCCCTAGCCCATAATCTCTCTCTCTCTCT